AATATATACATGTATAAATATACGTTATATACATAAAATTTATCTTACTGATTTCAGCAGCTATAACAGTAAGATTGTGCCATTGAGATAGTTCACGGTCAAGAGGTTTTGATGTATAAAGGGATCCATTTCCAGAATGTATGTTAAAGATCCTATCAAGGTCAGTATGGCGATCCAAGGAAAATCTAAATATAGAGGGCAGAGAAAAATAATGGAAGTATTATTAATGGTTTTCAGGAGACAATGGCGAAATGCACAGACACACATATCACTGAAAGAACATAGTATGATCTAGAATGTAGGCTATTTCATTGATTTATCAGCATCACATATACTCTCTCCCCAAGGCATATATCGACACTTTGTTGTGCATGCAAATGCTAGTCTTCAGAATGTTTGTGTTATTGAAATAATTATCTAATTGCGTATACATTCAACTGACTTTAATGCATTTGGCAACAATAGTTGGGATTATATGTGTTTACGTTACCAACTGACTTTATTTGGTTATTAAGGATTCTATTGAAAAATAACTACAAGGATCTATCACAAAAGATCATTCCCCAAAGCTGAGTTTTTTTTGTTAGTGAGAAAATTGGAGACAATATTAGTTTCATCAAAGTCGTAGGTCATCAACTGATTATGGTGTTTAGTGGCTTTATGGTATGATACCCATGTAGCATCAGTTTCTTAATCACATGTATCATTATAAAATGTATAACTTTTAATTCATGATCTTTCAAAAGTAAAAAAGCTTGAGATATGAGTTTCGTATATCTGTATCAAATAAAGTCCATATATATTTTTTAAAAACTACTACTATGCTGCAAACTGATTACATGAATGGTGTTGGATGTCATCTAAAGTTAACACTAGGTTTATCAATCTTGTTGATGTAGTTGGAATAAATCCCATTATCTTTATCAAACTACATATTTTATCATTCACAAAGAAGCAAATAATTATATACCTACATGTAGAATGATTTTCAAATTTCATCCCAAATTGACAAAATTATTTTACTATTGAAAAATCCAACATAAATTTCACCTCCTCCTTGTACTCCTCTATGATTACATAAAGTAGAAGATATGTGTTCCCTTCCATCATAAAGCATCTTGTACCACTCATGCTTTCCATTTACCACATTGTATTAGGAATTTATTTTATCTAACATTTCAAACAGAGAATAAAACATGAAAATACCAAGCACTATACTCTAGAAGGCACTCAGTGAATATTATTTGATTCTCATACTGAATCTTCTTTCCTAATACATTGAGAACTCCTTGAGAAACAAGTTAATATCTGATATGATGATCCACGAATATTTGTTTAATGAAAGAAAGAATGACTGAATTCTTTGGCATTTAGCAAATAGTAAGGTTCCTTATTTCTGTGGAAATATGACATAAGTTGCAAAATACAAATCAATCATGCATCACTGACATTGCC